CTTCCCTTCGTCTTTTGTTCTCTTGTGATTTGATGTCTGTCTTTAGTGTTGTGTTTAGATTGCTTTTTCTTTTTTGTATGTGTACCTATTGTAGATTTTTGGTTTGTGGTTCCCCTGAGGTTTATTTTTTTTAATATTTATTTATTTATTTAGGCTGCACCAGGTCTTATTTGTGGCATGCAGGGTCTTTAGTTGCGGTATGTGGACTCTTCGTTGCATCATGCCTGTGGGATCTAGTTCCCTGACCAGGGATCAAGGCCTGGCCCCCTGCATTGGGAGTGCGGAGTCTTACCAACTGGACCACCAGGGAAGTCCCTCCCATGAGGTTTTGATATAGCAGTGTGTATATGTACAAGATCGTTTTAAGTTGCTGGTCTCTTAATTTCAAGTGCACTTCCAATATCCTGCATTTGTACTCTCCTCTTCTTATGATTGCTGGTTTTGATATCATATTTGTGTGGGGATGATTTCCTACCTTTACTTTATGTTTGCCTTTATTGGTGAGCTTTACCATTTGTAATTTTTTTTTTTTTTTTTTTGCGGTATGCAGGCCTCTCACTGTCGTGGCCTCTCCCGTTGCAGAGCACAGGCTCCGGAGTCACAGGCCCAGCGGCCATGGCTCATGGGCCCAGCCGCTCCGCTGCACGCGGGATCCTCCCGGACTGGGGCACGAACCCGTGTCCCCTGCTTTGGCAGGCGAACTCTCAACCACTGTGCCACCAGGGAAGCCCCTTTGTAATTTTCTTGATTCTCGTTTTGGCCTTTTTTTTTTTTCCACCTAGAGAAGTTCCTTTAGAATTTGTTGTAAAGCTGGTTTGGTGGTGCTGAATTCTCTTAGCTTTTGCTTGTCTGTAAAACTTTTGATTTGTCCGTTGAATCTGAATGAGAGCCTTGCTGGGTAGAATATTCTTGGTTGTAGGTTTTTCCCTTTCATCACTTTAAATATATCGTGCCATTCCCTTCTGGCCTGCAGAGTTTCTGCTGAAAAATCAGCTGATACCCTTATGGGGATTCCCTTGTATGTTACTTGTCACTTTTTCCTTCTTCTTCTTTTTTTTTTTTTTTTTTGCTGTACACGGGCCTCTCACTGTTGTGGCCTCTCCAGTTGCGGAGCACAGGCTCCGGACGCGCAGGCTCAGCGGCCATGGCTCATGGGCTTAGCCGCTCCATGGCATGTGGGATCTTCCCAGACCGGGGCACGAACCTATGTCCCCTGCATCGGCAGGCGGACTCTCAACCACTGCGCCACCAGGGAAGCCCACTTTTCCCTTCTTGCTTTTAATATTTTTTCTTTGTCTTTAATTTTTGTCAGTTTGATTAATATGTGTGTTGGTGTGTTCCTCCTTGGTTTGTCTTGTATGGGACTCTCTCCACTTCCTGGACTTAAGTTGAATGTTTTCTTTCTCATGTTAGGGAAGTTTTCGGCTATAATCTCTTCATATATTTTCTCAGGCCCTTTCTCTCTATTCCTTCTGGGACACCTATGATGCAAATGTTGGTGCATTTAGTGTTGTCCCAGAGGTCTCTGAGACCTCACTCAGAGGCTCAGGACTCTCACTCTTATGGGAGGACCTCTGCGATATAATTATCTTCCAGTTTGTGGGTTGTCCATCTGGTGGGTATGGGATTTGATTATTTTCCGAAAGTGCCCTCCTACCATCTCACTGTGGCTTCTTTTTTGTCTTTGAGTGTAAAAAGTCTTTTTTGGTAGCTTCCAGTCTTTTTTGTCAATGGTTGTTCAGCAGTTACTTGTGGTTTTGGTGTTGTTGTGAGAGAAGACGAGCTCAAGTCGGGCTCCTCCACCCTCTTTCCGGAACTGAGTGGCTGTTACTAGCTTGGATGCTTGCTGCCTCTTCCCTCAGCGTGTGCTGGCCATCATCCCCCTGGTATGGGCGTGCAGGCACAGCGGCCCTTGCGCGCTCCGGGATTGGGGAGTACTCAGAGTGTCGTTGCAAAGATTAAGTAAGATGACGTGAAACTATCTTGCCCATTTTCCAGCAAACATGTCTTTGTTTCTGCCCTTTTTTCTGTAGCAGGTCACTGTGCCAAAGCTTTGCCCAACCATGCCTTTTGAATAGGATTTCCTTTCTGAGGTAGCGTGATAAAGTCCTGTGCTGTCCTCCTCAGGGCTGGAATCCAGCACGCGTCCAGCATTTCCCCCTGAGTCACTCAGTAGCCATCTTGCTTCAGTCTGTCCTGTTTTAATGAGGCACCAAGAAAAATCTCCATCCCAACCCTTGGTGGAGCCACGGAGGGGCTCCTTAGCGGACGTGGTGAGGCGAGCGTACAGGTCTCAGCACAGAACATTGCGAGGGCAGAGGAAAGCAGGAACTCATGTCACCAGATTAAAATTTAATCTACTTGGCTACAAGCTACTCCACCAAGTTGCAGGTTTCCTGTGAAAATGGTCTGTATGATTGGGGGCTGCGGTCCTTCATCCCTGCTCTGCCCCTTCCCACCACTCTCCTTTGTCTTCCTCCATTTGCTTCCTGTCCTTTGTTAACTAATTATAGAAGTCCCCACGGCCTTGGAATTAGCATCTGTGTTGCCATTTCCTAATAACATCAGTAGGAAACACATTCCTTTTCATTTGAGAAGGTAATAGAGTCCAGGGAAAACTCATGTGGGCAGAACGTCTCATTTATTCAGCTGCAGTGTGGTTTCAAACCTGAGCAGATGACTCTGGGGACCAGGTATCCATTTGAGATAAATTAACCAGGCTGGGTTGTAAAAAGTGTTTCCTCAGTATATACTTTTGTCCTTTCTTGAGCAATAACCTCTAAAGGGTGAATTTGGATATGATAGTCTGCTGTTTAAGCCCTTCATGATTATTTTTTTAAAAATAATGATGAGACATTGATGCTATGGTTATTTGTTTTTTTTTTTTTTCTTTGAGTTCTTTTAACGAAACATACTGAAGTATTTGGAGATGAAATTATAGGATACCGGGGATTTGTCTCAAAATTATATGGAAGGGGATGGTGTGGTTGGCAGTAGAGATGAAACAAGGCTGGCTGAGTTGATAATTGTTGAGGGAAGTGGGGGCTACAGGGGTTCCATTATACTATTCTGTTTACTTTTACATATATGTTTGTAATTTTCCATAATGAAAATAAAAAAACCAAAAGAAACCCCACACCCTTCCATAGGTTTCCCATTGTCTCAAGCTAGTGTCCAGCCCCCCTAACATGGCCTTCAGACGCCTTCACCTGTCTGGCACCTACTAACCCTTCCAGGTTCATCTTCTTAGGTGTCCTGGTCCTGTGAAATGATTTGCAGTGGACCCAACATGTACACGCCCCTGACCGCTGGCTTGCACCTGCTGCCTTCTCTTCCTACAATGCTTTTTCCCTCCCTTTCCATCCGCCCATCCTCTCCCCAGTTTTCCTGCCTCACATGGACCCTCAGGCTCCAGACAGGTCACATGCTTTCAGCCTTCCCTGACTGCCCTCCAGCCGAGTGTGGGTTCGGTGCCCCCCCCCCAGGGGTGCCTCTGTCACTGTTCCCCTCATCTTAGCCTTCCTTACCCTGATTCTAAGCACTGCTTCCTTCCCGTCGCCTCCGTTGTATCAAGCATGGTTTTGAGGAAAGGGATTATGCCTTGTTCACACTTCTGTCCCTGGCACCAAGCACAGTGCCTGGCGTGGAGCAGACAACCCATAAATTAGGGAATAAAAAGGCCCACCCAGGACTTGCCAGGGCTCGGTCTCAGGTCTCCCAGCAGTGCCTGGTGCCGAGGTAGCATCTCTCTGCCTTTTTGTGTCTTCACGTCCCTATTCACCTCGCCTCTGCTCTGTTTCATTGGGATTTTCAGTAACTTCCTGTGAGGCCAGAGCAGCACAAGCATAAGTTTGGGCACTGTTTCCCCAAATTTCTGCTGTACATCGTGGACAAAGTCCAGTCAAACTTGGAGCTCTGATACTCTCTTGAAAATAACTAGACTTGAAATGGTGTCCAATGCTACTAGGCAAATTTAAGTTTGTTCTTTATTGATGCTCTGTGTTGCCCCTCTGTTTTGTTTTGTTTTTTACATCTTCATTGGAGTATAATTGCTTTACAATGGTGTGTTAGTTTCTGCTTTATAACAAAGTGACTCAGTTATACGTATCCGTATGTTTGCATATCTCTTCCCTCTTGCGTCTCCCTCCCTCCCACCCTCCCTATCCCACCCCTCTTTGATTAAAGTCTGTCTAGGACACAACTCCACGGGCATGTGATCTGTGCCGTCCAGTTGATGGTGACATATGAACCAGGAGCGTGGTGCGGGAATGTTCATTACAACAGTTTGAAATAGGAAAAGAAGAAATCATGTGCTGAAGTGAAAATGCATGAACTTAGAGCTAGACATACAAGTTGGTTGTTTCACACCAAAAACCAGCAAGTCAGAGAATATATACAGTATGATACTATTTATATAAAGTTCAAAGACATACAAAACTAAACAATATGCTGTTTAGGAATTCATAATTATAATAATATATAATATGCATATACAGATATATGCAGGGAACTGATAAATGCAGAGATCAGGATGGAGGCGTTCTCTGGGCAGGAGGGAGAGATGTGATTACGAGGAGGCGTATGGAGCTCTGACAGTACAGATAGCGCTTTGTGTCTTGGGCTGCATGGTGGGTGCATGGTCTTTTATTTCATTATACTTAATACTTTATATATAAGCTAAATACATTTTTTGGGTAAGATAAATTTCCTAATAAAAATAACATTTAAAATAAATCCACCAGCAATTTTTAAGTGAGACTATGTTCTCAGCACTTTGAAGAAGGAAGAGTTTTTTGGTTTTTAGTTTTTATTCCTGTTCAGCTTTTCTTCTGCAGTTCATGGGGGTAATTTTAATCAAATCATTCCTTACTTCTGCTTTACCTGAAAGGCTGATGATAGAAATACAAATTGCAGCAGCTCCCCATTGGCGATCATCACAAAGTAGATTAAGTAGATGACCTCTCTCTCCCCCGACCTTGTCCCCTCCTTGTTCATCTCAGATGTTGCCGTGGTGGACATGAGCAATGTCTCTAGACAGCCTTCCCTCTTCTACCATCTTGGAGTCCGTGAAAGCTTTGACATGGCCAATAATGTGATCCTGTACCACGACACCGATGCTGACACTGCTCTTTCATTGAAGGTAAAGAGTATTGTTCACCTTCTCCTGAATACTTTGTTTTGGGAAAGCAGTATTGTGTGTTCATTTGAAATGTACCTGTAGCAGAGGAGGTTGGAGAAAAACAAGAAAGATTTGCTCGTGCAGTTCCTTCCTTCCCACCCCCAGGTTCTAGCTCACACAGGTGACTTCCCGGCTTCTGTGTGAGCGTATGTGCTAGAGATGTGCGTTTGCAGGCAAGCTGAATATTTCTAAGCTCAGTGGGGAGGCGAAGGCAGAAACTCCTGTTAGTTTCTGTTGAAGCAAACACAGCACTTTGAATCCTCTATTGGGCAATTTGATCCAAACCTGCACATTGAAAAAAAAAAATCTCAACTTGGATAATAATAGGAAGATGCTTAACAGTTACCAACATGGGTAGAAACGTTTAGCACAAATGTAATCAGTATTTAATCTGTCATTTTTTCCTCCCCAGTTTAAAGCCAAGCAAAACTGAAAACTTGTGTGTTCATACACAGCTCAGTACTTATTGAGAATTTTTAAATGTATTTTGCAAATTTGATACGAGCTTTTTTGGATAACAGTACTTTTTAAAATGCTCCTGTTTGTAAAATGTGAAGGTCAGATGTGAGTTGTTACAAAATTTAGCTAATATTAATATTGCTTAATATCTTAACATTAGTCAGGAAATCCTGGTCTATGTTAAATCATTTCAGGAATAAAAGATTAGTTTGTTTACAGCAGTGTTACTCAACCTTGACTGCACTTTAGAATCATTTGGGGGGTTTGTAAATATCCCAGTACCCAGGCCACACCAAGGTCAATTATGTCACAATCTCTAGGGGATTTTTTTTTAACCTCCCAAATGTGCAGCCAGAGGTGAGAACCAGTGGTTCAGAGTTAGCTTTCATGGACGTCATTTCTAAATGTTCAGCTGCCTTAGCATTAAAAGTCACTAGTATATAAATGACACAATTTTGTGATGGCATGTTGGATGTTTTTGTTTGTGTTTCTTAAGGTCTGATATTAACCAGATGTTTCTGGGTTCTGTAACAATTGGGGATTATTTCCTGGTAGAAATACTACCTATCTCAGATGTGTAACCTTTATGTGTTAATATATCACATACACCTTATATAGGTGTGTCCTCTCTCATCCTAGCACAGTGCTGTATTTTAAGAGTCATTCGTGTGACAGTGGAAGAAGAAACTGTTTTGCTATTATACTTTACGTTGTAAAATAGTTTCCCAAAAGGCTATAAACCAATCTAAATTACTTTAGATATTTAGATTTTTTTCTTTTACTGATATTCACTAAAGTGGTTATGCTTAGAAATATTTAGAATTAGAAGATGTGAAAGGGTAGATTATTAAGCTGTATTTTGATGAGAAACATGAAACTAGAATGTATTTTTTCCCAATTCAATAAATTTTTTTTCTCATTTGTGCGTTAGTGAACTCCTCTGGAAAGTCCCATGACCTAGATAAGTTTTAATTTTTAATGATATGGAAGAATACTTCCTAAAACAGAAATGGGTACTCAGTTATATCTGACACCAGAAGAAGCGATCTGCACTTGTCAGAAAATAGAAATCTCAGAACACGTAAAACACATTTTACGGGGACAGCTGTTTAATTATGTTTTCTTTTTTCAGCAAATGGCTTGCAGCGCATAAATGATACAGTCAAGGGCTGCATAACCATTATGCTAAGTTAACCGACTAAAATTGTTGTCATTGAGTTTGAGTTTGAAAATTCCTATAGTGAATATATATAAACATAATACCTATAGTGAGGTGTCAGGAATCCTATCAGCAACACCCCTTCTGTAGGAAGACTGACTTGGGCGGGGTGTGGCCTGCAGCCTTCACACTGATGACTCAAGAAATGGCTCCAGGCCCAACGTTACCATGGGCTGCCCATGCGCTTCACTGCTGTCACTGAGAAGGCGAGGGGCAGGGCATTCAGAGCCCTGAACTTGAATCTCAAAATATCTTTGGACAGAAGCATTGCCATTGCTATGGGAAAATCCTTATAACCATATATGTCCCCCAGGAATTCCAAAGCTAACCAATCATGATAAATTTTCCTTAGAACATGAATTTTACATTTCTTAGAGACCCATTCTTTTTGAAGCTTTTTACAGGGGGAGGTTTCCAATGATTAACTCTTGCTCTAAAATCGGTGCCAGTTGATGACATGGAGACAGAGTGCTTACTAGTGCTTATGGAAATTAACTGTTTTGGAAAAAAGCTATATTGATCCTATCTTTTCTTTTCAGGATATAGTAACTCAAAAAAACACAGTAAGTATTGTATTTTCAGATTTTTAACTTTGTGAATGTAAATATATAAAATGCTTGCCTGAAAATCCCACAGATAGCCAAGTGATGTCTAATTGTACCTGTTGGTTGTGTTTCTAAGGGGGGCACCTAGAAACCCCTACCCCTCAAGCTGCCAGCTGGATCAGCCCCACTCAGCTGCCCAGGGTGCAGGGCAGAGGGCAAGGTCAGGCAGGTGTACTTTTTCTTCGTTACACACTAGGACTTTGAGCCTGTCTTCTGAGCTGGGTCGGTGTTCCTATGGACCACCAGGGTTCTTTCTGCTGGAGCCAGTGCCTCCATACTTCCCACCAAAGTTTCCCTCACAACACAGAGACATGAACTTATACCGGAGTTAAGTTTGGAGCCTAGCCCAGAGTTCCCTGCCACGAGCTGAAAAGAAGCGGGTGGAATTCCACTTCTTTCCATTTATGTTCTTGAGTCTCCTGATTTGACTTAAGAGTTCCTGCAGTGACATAGTGATAACACCGTTTTGGTTTGACTTGTATCATGAAACCCTCCCCCACCCTAAAAACATTCAAATAAGATCATGTCCTTGGAAATAGTGCCACGGTTATCCTGTACCTTTGAATGCCCCCCCCCCCAAAAAAAACCTGCCCATCCTCCGAGAAATTGTGACCTAGACTAAGGACAGTTCTTTCTTCCCTTTCCTTTGGCCCTCAGCCACTGACCCTTCTAGAAGGGCAGAGCCTCTTGCCTCTTTCCAGTTGGAGTTCCCGGAGGGAGAGGGAGAAAAGGGCCCAGGAGGTAGAGGTCTCCCGAAGGCGCCCTCCGCAGGGGAGCCGGAGCGTGGCGTGACGCCCCCCCTCCACAGAAGGTCCCACCCTGCAGCCGCGGGGGTCCAGGCTTCCCCAGGACCCAGGCAGGGCTCCCTGCCGGAGGTGGAAGCCTTGACTCTCCTCCTCCAAGCCCGAGGATGAAATTCTAGGAAGAAAACAAATACAGTTTATGTCATTACCACTGGAGTGTGGGTTTAATAAGCTGACCTGAAAATAAGGCATCAAGGTGGTTTTCTTGGGAAGAGAAATGGGAAGATTTGTCGCTTCATTTTGTCCCATTTACATGCTAATACTGCCCACTTATGGGCTCTTTCCTGTTCTTTCTAGATCTTGATTTCTTAAATTACCTCCTTCTTGGAGACAGGAATCCAGTCAAAGGAGATTGGGCCTGAGGCTGGGAGGCACAGGGTGTAGTCCCGGCTCTGTCTCTTAGTAACTTCAGGCAGTCATTCCATCCCCCACCCCAATCCTCAGTGCCCTCGGCAGTAAAATGAAAAGGTTGAACTCTGGCGTTTCATTCATAGATAACTTCCAGCACTCATTGTCCGTGTTCCATATTTGTTGTACAAGTGAAAAGACGTAACTTGGGTTTAATACAAGGAATGTCTAGGAAACAGTTATTCCTTAAAACAAGAATTACATTCAGGCAAGGTGCAAGGAAGAAAACTCTTTATTTTTACATCCTGACTGTTAGTTGTGTCGGAGTCTACAAATCCTGTTCTCGGGGAGACTTAGTGTCATTCTGTTACCATTCTACTACATGCCCTCCCTTCTGGTATGTTCTCCCTTGTCCAAACACCCAGGAATTCCTTCACATTCTTGGTAATTCTACCGCAGCATCATTCTCCCTAGGCTTTTGTTTGTTTTGTTTGTTTTTTAGGAAGAAACTTATTCTAAACGATTTGGCAATGAATCTCCCTGCTGTATTTGACATTACTTTAGAATTCTGTGCCCAGGACTGGTTGTCATGCTTGATGGGGTATGAAAATTTAGAGCATTCAGGAGAACAAAATAAAGGACCAGAGGTGACTGGAAGGGTTGAAAATAGCACCTAAGAGGAAAAGTTGAAGGGAAGCAAACCTCAGGAGGTATTGTTCATGGTCATTTTCAAATGTTGTCCCTTTTCAGGAAGCAGGGAAGCCGTTACTTCTACTCCAGATGTCATGGAAGTAGGGCAAACTGAAAAAAGGTTGGGGTCAGCAGAATGGACATCTCACAAGTAATGGTGATTAAACATTGAAATAGAATGTCAAAGTAAATCAGCTGACATTTAAGAAGAGTTTGTTCACTTGTCCCCTCCATATGCATGGAGGTAATGCTGCTTGGAAGCAGGGGTATGGATCGTGTAACACCAGAGGTTTTGAGAGAAAATCTGATGAATTGTGGGTCTGTGATAATTGGATAGCTTTAAGAAAGAGAGATACAACATAGTTGTAGTTGGTGAATTATAAAGTCCTGTGAGTCAGGTACAGATTAAATGCCACACACTGAACATGCAGATTTATGAATATATGGAAACCAAGATGCTTTGAGATCTCTGTCTTCAGGTAGTATTTTATGTTTCTAGAATTGTGCCTGATAATGAATGGAACTCGGCTTCATTTGGTAGAGGGATAGTGTATTAGCCAGGGTTCTATAGAGTAGCAGTTCCCCAACCTTTTTGGCACCAGGGACCAGTTTCGTGGAAGACGGTTTTTCCACAGACGGGGGCAGGGGTGGTGGTTCAGGTGGTAATGTGAGTAATGGTTCAGGCAGTAATGCGAGCGGTGGGGAGAGGTGGGGAGAGGTGGGGAGCGGCAGACGAAGCTTCACTCGCTTGCCTGCCGCTCACCTGCGTGGCTGCCTGGTTCCTAACAGGCCATGGACTGGTACCGGTCTGCGGCCCAGGGGTTGGGGACCCCTGCTATAGAGAAACAGAGCCAATTGGAGATATAGAAAGAGGGAGATAGAGATATTTATTATGAGGAATTACCTCACATAATTATGGAGGCTGAGAAGCCCAACAGTCTACCATCCGCAGGCTGCAGACCCAGGAAAGCCAGTGGTGTAATTCGGTTTAAGTCCAAAGGCCTGAGAACCAGGGGAGCCAATGGTGTAGATGAGAGAAGATGAGATGAGGTGTCCCAGATCAAGCAGTTAGGCAAGAGAAAGAGGGCAAATTCCTCCTTCCTCTGCCTTGTGTCCTGGTCAGGCCTCGGTGGATTGGGTGGTGCCCACCCACAGTGGGGAGGGCGGTCTACTTGACTGAGTCCACTGACCCAGATGCTAATCTCATTCAGAGGCACCCTCACAGACACACCCAGAAATAATGTTTAATCTGGGCACCCTGTGGCCGGTCAAGTTGACACACAAAAGTAGCCATCACAGATGGCTACATTTGCTGCCATTTCTAGGAGCAGTTGCTTTGCAGGGATGTAAAGTATGGGAAGCCAATCTCTAGGCTTTGGGCTGGACCAGACCTGCAGCCCTTCTCGGCCCTTCTGTTCTTCGGCAACGCAGTATCACCTTTTGTGCTGACCTCTTTTTCAGCTGATGCTCATAGCCTCGTGTTCCAGGGGGGTTTTTTAAACTCTTTATTTAGGTATAATTGACATACCGTAAAATGCACCTGTGTACACACAATTCAGTGATTTTTTAAGAGTTGTGCAGCCATCACTACAACCCAGTTTTAGAGCATTTTCATCACCCCAAAATATACTTGTTTCCAGACAATGCCTGTTCCCATCCCAGCCCCAAGCAACCACTAATTTGCTTTATGTGTTATAGATTTACCTTTTCAGGACTTTTCATAGAAATGGAAGGATACAATAATGTGGTCTTTTGCATCTAGTTTCTTTCACTTAGCATGATGTTTGTGAGGTTCACCCATGATGTAGCAAGTATCAGTAGTTCTTTTTTATTGCTGAAAAGTACTCTAGTGTATGGATATTACACGTTGTATTTATATATTCCCCAGTGGATGGACATTTGGATTGTCTCCACTTTTTGGTTATTATTCATAATGTTGCTATAAACATTCAAGTACAAGTCTTTGTGTTGCAAATATGTCTTCATTCCTCTTGGGTAGATACCTAGGAATGGAATTGCTGGATCATATAGTAAATATATGTTTGACTTTGTAAGAAACTATGAAAATAATGTTCAAGGTGGCTGTACCGTTTTACATTTCCATCAGCAATGAGAGGTCTGGCTTCTTCACATCATCATCAATACTTGGTATTGTCTGTCTTTTTATTATATCAATTTTAGTGAGTATGGAGTGGTATCCTATTGTTGTTTTGTATTTCCCTAGTGGGTAATGATGTTGAGCGTCTTCTCATGTGCGTATTAGCCATTCTTAGTCTTTTTTTGGTGAAATGTCTATTCAAGTCTTTTGCTTATTTTTAGTTGGATTTTTTAGTCTTATTGTGGAGCTGTAGAGTTCTTTGTGTATTCTGGAAGCAAGGCTCTTATCAGAGACTTTATCAATTACTTCTTTTATGGCTCACGCTTTTGGTGTTGTATCTAAGAACTCTTAGCCTAACCCAAGGTCATGAAGAATTTACTCTTACGTTTCCTTTTAAAGTTTTATAGTTTTGGCTCTTACATTTATTTCTCTGACCCATTTTGAGGTAATTTTTGTGTCTGGTGTGAGGTAGGGGTCCAGCTTCTTTCTTTTACATGTGGCTATCCAGATGTCCCAGCACCATTTCTTAAAAAGACTATTCCTGGGTTTCCCTGGTGGTGCAGTGGTTGAGAGTCTGCCTGCCGATGCAGGGGACATGGGTTCGTGCCCCGGTCCGGGAAGATCCCACATGCCGCGGAGCGGCTGGGCCCGTGAGCCATGGCCGCTGAACCTGCGCGTCCAGAGCCCGTGCTCCGCAACGGGAGAGGCCACAGCAGTGAGAGGCCCGCATACCACACACACAAAAAAAAGGCTATTCCTTCCCCATTGAATTTTCTTGGCACCTTTGTCAGAACCAACTGATCATAAATGTAAGGGTTTGTTTCTGGACTTGAAATTCTATTCCATTGACTTGTATGTTTACCTTTATGCCAGTACCATGCTGTTTTGACTACTGTACCTTTATGGTACATTTTGAAATTAGGAAATCTGATTCCCCCAACTTTGTTCTTCTTTTTCAACACAGTTTTGGCCATCTGGGGCCACTTGCAGTTCCATATGAATTTGAGAATCAACTTTTC